CTTGATAGTATTGATAACAATGTTCAACACGATTTATCTGATCTCCCATGTGATAATTCTGTCGACAATAATTCATCAATATCATCAAAATTAGAGACTTCCTTGTGTCATGATGACAGTCCAGGTAAATCCATGGATGCATATTTACACTTTATAGGATAATGATGATAGCGCTAAGAAAATATGACTCAAATCTAATTCTTCTATTTGCATGCTCGTGTGCAAATATCATAAACAATAAAATTTCGAGAAATGAAGTGTAGTAGACAACCTTGGAACCTCACATTCTAATCATGATTATGACTAAAGAGAATTGCTTTTAATAGGAATTTTTCTTTATCAAGTGGAAAATAAAAAAATGCGCATTGAAAATTTTATTTGAAATTTTTTTACTCTTGACAATATCACATAAAACTTGAAAGTACAATAATTTGCAATAGGAAGCAATCTTGAAGAGTCATTGTCATTTTGGCTGATTATAGAAAATATTCACTCTCTTTAGTTTAACTTATTTTTCTTCGTTCATAAGCGTAGCCAGAATTTCACACAATTATGTTTTGTTTGAATGAAAAAGATACTTGTAGTTGTTAGTGCAATTTCTGCAAGAATGAAATTCATAATATAAGAAAACGTTTTTGGTATACTATCTGTGATCCAGAGATGTCTGTGGTGGCATAGTTTTCTTGAATAGCATCAAAAGTAAAATGTCGAAAATAAGAATATTGAACTATACAAATAGCGGAAATCTCTGTACACACTTCTTAGAAAAAAGCATTATTAAGTATAATCTTCAATTAGCGTGATTAGTATCTGTTGGGTTATTAATTTTAGTGGTCCAGAAACATTTTCAATCAATAATTTCAATACCATCAAATGTATTTGATCGATTTTCGTTAGTTAATTGGTCATTTATATTTGCGTTGACTCTAATCATATTATTTATATTTTTTAATGTGATAGATAAATTCAATTATAGTTTAACTGCTCTTATCATTCATTGGAATACAATAATAGAATATTTTTCTATAGAAATAAACAATTTCTATCCATATTTAATATTTTTATGGCATATTCTGATATTTTTAATTCAATTCAATTGGATAACTATATTCATTATTATCAATGAAACATTATTACACTATGGATATTTGTCAAATTATACGAGAAAATATCAATTTGTTAAACAAATATTTCAAGATTGGTATAAGAACAATTATTTGAAATTTGGGATTTTACTTTTCTTAATTTTATTTGGTCCATCTTTATTACAAATATTTTCATTTTATTCTTTAAAAATAATAAAATTTCTTTTGATAATTATATGGACATTTATACGATACAGTTGGTTAAGTTTATTAATTGTTCTTAGTGAATCATTCATAGATTATGAATATTTTTCTAGTTATATTCAACAATATCAAAATATTAAACACAATCTACAAGATTGGTGCATAGTTCATAAAATAAGACATGAAGTTCTTTTTTTAATTATTATTGCAATACCATTTCTAATAGAACTATGTGTATTCTATGCTATCATTATTCTAAAAGTAATGTTTTATCCTTTATCGATATTATTAATATTTATTATTCGATATAATTGGCTTGTTTTATTTTTAATTCTCGATGGAATTTTAATCAAGCACAGATATTTTCCAAATGTTGCTAGAAAATATCAAGATATAAAACTAAATATTGATCATTTTCTTTCAAATAACTCTAATTCAAAATATTCAATAATAAAAGAACGATTATATTATTGGTATAAATATGATAATTTTAAAAGTAAAATGATTATTTTTTCAATATTAATTATTCCACTTGTCATAGAAATAATTTTTCTTTATCTTATACCAATGTCGAATTTAGTTTTATTTTTTTTATGGAAATTAATAATATTTGTAATACGTTATTGTTGGCTTATTTTAATGATTATGATGAATGAGCTAGTTTTGGTTGAATATAATTATTTTCCAAATTATATTAGATTATATAATTCAATAAAAGAAACTATAATTAATTGGCATGAAGATAAAATATTTCGAAGTGTAGTTATTCTTATTTCTATTTTTGGTGGTCCATTTATGTTAGAAATGTGTTTTATTTGGTTAATGCCAATAATGAACTTATTTATATTTGTCTTATGGAGTCTTTTTCTGTTTTTAATTCGTTATTGTTGGTTGATATTAATATTAATTATTAATCGAATTTTCGAAGAGAATGAAATATTTCAAAATTATATTTCAAAATCTATCATCAATATAATACAACAAATCGGTCGATGGAGTGATAATAATAAATTAAAAATTGGACTAGTCATATTTTTAACTATAGCTGGCCCATTCATATTAGAAATACTTCTATTTTATGGTTTTAAGGCGATAGTAATAACAATTATTTTCGTTTTGAAAAAATCATTGTTTTATTTAGTAAGTATATTTGGTTTTTATTGTTTATTTCATTTGATTCATCAATAATTCAACAAGTCAAAAACACAAATCAAAATAAGTTCAGGTCTAAATCGATGGTTCTCAATCAAAGAATGATTTGATCATATCCGGTCACAAAAGCAACGATTTAATTAATTTTATCTTCGAATCAGATTCCAGTTGATTGATGGAAAAGTTTACAGTCGTATAACATAACATGTTAATTCAAGTTTTTCATTGTCTTCGTTTTTCTTTTATCTCCAGCTATCACATTACATCTCTGTGCTTTTCAGCGTAAATAAACTTTCAAAAAAAAATACGATATAAACATTTTCAAAAATTATCCTTTAATAGATGTGGGTGTATTTTAAAGATAAGTTCCACACATCACTACCACATTTAGGCCGCATTCAGAGCACCCGTTCTTAGATCGAGATCGAAATGAAATAGTTCGTTTGTGAGAGTATTGCTTAGACTACGGGATTTTTTCGACCGGAACTTTTGTGGCTAAACTCAGTCAAATGTCAAATATGTTTTTTTTAATGTGATTATGCAACAAAAACTAGCAATAGGATGTCGCTTCTCCGCGATATTCTTTAGAATTCATTTTGATGACAGAAGTCTTTGAGTCTTTACTCAACAACAAACGTTGACTCGTAGTATGTTCACTATCTGATATTTGATGCATTAGGTACACAGCTAAATCGTGATTGAGGATATTTATTTTTTGGCTAAGTAAGAAAGAATATCTGCAAAGCAGAGTAGATAGGGGGGAGGCCAAAATGTTCGCATTGTAGAATGATGATAAGATTTATTATGTAAAAAGATACGGAAAAATCACTGATGAGAGATATTTGAACATCTAACTGTCAATAGGTTCATAATCAAGAAAATCCTTGTCAGCTATATCAAATAAATGGACGTATAGATAAAAAATCGGACGTAACCTCTTTTGATAACCACTGAGATCCAATAAACAATTTACATATTCTTGCTTTACTTTAATTAAAATATTATCATTTGTCACTGATGTAATTCTGCTAGGACGTGTTGAACGTAGTTGAGTTTGTTCTTGCCCAACCCAAACCATTATTGATTCTTCAGTTTCTTGAATATAGAGGTAGTCCAAAAAGTATTCGGACACTTATATATCTTGATTTTCGAAGTGGCAACAAGTGATATTATTTTTCTTTTTCGTCAGTAGATAGTTCTCACTTTATACTAGATTCTCTATAAAAATAAACAATTTTGATTATTATCTCGAATTACGGGAACGTTTCTCATTGAAATGTCCGATTTTCCAATATGTTAGGTACTCACTTTTCGGACATCACAATTATATTATTTGCACACCGCTAGAATGAGCAAAGCGAGCTCTATCTGTTGGCATAATATTTCAATAAAGAAAGTTAATTTTCACAATATGAACTATTTCAAAAGAAATCAGATTCTTGAACATGCTTAATGCGATAGTACGAGCAAAAGATCACAATGAATTTTTTATTAAAATTAATTTCCAAATATCCCATTAGAAAGCCTGTCAAAAGCTGCACAAAACAAGGACTATCTACTGGTGAAAAAAGAAAAAGTGTATTTCTTGTTTCTGATTCGCAAGCCAAGAAATACGAAAAAACATGGGGGTGTCCGAATACTTTTTGGACTACCTGTATTTTATCCAGACCCATAAATTTGGATGTGTTTGACAATGAGGGTACGAGTGTGGGTGTGGGTTGGAGTGGGTTCAGGTTTGAGTATCAATATGACTGAAAAACAAAGACGCACCCATATGCACACCTAGATTTTCGGAAATCGAAGTTCGATGCCCGAAAATCAAATGGGTATTCCACAAGACAAAAGGATCGTATAGAAAAAAGAAATTTTCCCCTGAGCAATGCAATTTTGATCAATCAAAGGTGGAGCAGTAAGCCAAGAAATATACGAGCCATCTCTCTCTATGTGGATGTCGTGAAAGAAATAACCAAAGAAAAAAGAGAAACACAAAAACACACCTATATCATCATACTCGGCGAGAATGCCGCAAAAGGGCTAAATGAAAAAAGGATAGAGAGAGTATTACTTGAGAGTTCGGAGTTTCGTCTAAAGTGATTCTTTGTGTTCGTACTGTATTGGGAAACCTTTGAAATAGCTGATAAGAGACCATCTTGATATCACAGCGATAGCTACTGCGCATTATGCCGATTTCATCCATCATGTTCATTACGCTCAGTTCCCAATAAAATCGAAAAAAAAAGCAAAGTTTCCCAAAAAATTGATAAAAGATACCGAATAACTTTCTTAGGCTCATCTTTTCTGCGAATCAAAATATTTTTGAAATCTTTGCCAACATGAAAACATAGAAACAAAAGAATTCTAGATAGATAGAACAAAAAAGAGAATGACCGAAGGTCAGATGTCTTAGAATCTAGTCAAATCGTCACTAGTCGGCACTTGCAATACTATATCCATCGACTCTTCTCTACGGCGCCTAAGTTTATTAATAAAAATAAGAACTGATTGCGCCGTCCATGTTTCATAGAATCGCTTCATATAGACGTCCGATGAATACACATACGTAAAAAATCCAATAGTCTGTGGAAGATAATACAAAAAATCAATTACGATATGTAATCGAAGATAGAAAGTCATGTTTGTTTGGTGACAGCCGTCTGTAAACATGTAAAATCTGTCGGACAGATTATCGAGTAGAGCATGTGGTAATGTACAGGTAATAATTAGTAGAGGTGGAATGAAAAAATCTTTATGTTTCCGCACTTGTTGACGCATAATTTGTCCCCAAATACGTCTTTCTGCATTCATGAAAATAATCTTATGCCGGATAATATGTATTAAGCTAGCCAGAATTGAAAGAATATGTAAAATCCATGGTATAACACAATGAATGTACATACTACTGAAGATATCATCAAATATCTTTACATTTAGAGGACTATGACTATATCGACATAGGCTCATTGTTAGCATAAGAGGATGGACGTCACTATGCCAACCAATAAATGCCGTAACCTCTGCTAATATTGACAGTGGTATAAGTAATGCTGACACAATTATTGCGCATTTACGCGAACGAAAGATACTGAAATGAAAACATTCTACTAATACTCGTTCAACTGAGACAAACGCACTACTCCAGAGACATAGAATTAAAGTGACGTTTAACGTTGTTGTAATCAAACGACAATGAAGTAAACTGTTTCTATTCAGTTCCTGATTGAAGTAGATCGTTACAATATGTCGTACGTAGTATAAAATCATTCCACCTAAACTAGCTAGAGAATAAAATAAGAGGTAAATGCCGCATGATGTGATTCGAATTTTTCTCCGTAATAGAGTTTCGATCATTAGGAGATTACATATTATGGCGACTAGGAATTGTAGTGCAGAGAGCTTGTCATAAATCACTTTTAATACTATTTGCCATTCAACGGTAGTCTGCAGAAGTATGTCCGTTGACATTGATGAAGGCATTGAAAGTCGAAGGAAGGCACTCGAGTTTGTTCCGTTACAAGTAATATTAGATATATTCATCGTCTAACTAACAACAGAATACACAGAATGTCTTGTAAAATAATGTATTGGTGAATTAAAAATTTAGAGAAAATCTGTGATTGAGAATTTAAAAGCTTCAGAGCTTTTCAAAATAAAAACGTAAAATGAAACCCTTCTGTTTTTCTACGACTTTGAGAGAAAAAGATTGCTTTATTGGCAGCTGTTTGTATCACTGTATTCTAAAACCTAAAGCAAACAGAAAAATAAGATAACGACCAATCATAGGAATCACGGAAAAAGAGAACAACGACTCGCACTAAAAAGATTGACTTTTTCTATCGATAATGTCGTTGATTTTTTTCCAACATAAATGATGACACCAAGTATTCCTCCAATTTTCGTTCAGTATTTTCATATATTCATCCTCTGTGTATATTGTTTTCGTCTTTGTGTTTTCTCCATTTCCATTCACTCGAGTGCAATGAATATCATTCTTTCGTTTTTGTTCTATACTTCGTCATTACTTAGTAGTCAATGCGTTTCTTTTTCTTTCCTACATAGATGAACATAGTAGCTATCTTTGCGTTGATCTTTCCGTGCATTTTCTTCTCCGTTAGTCAGATAAGCACAGGAGAAATTATTTTGTTCAAGTTGCCAATTTTTCTTTTTCAATCTTTATGACCAACCACATTGTATCTCTCTCTAATTTAGATATTTGTTAATGATAATCATCTTTCTCTCCTGTCTTTGTCTCTAATAGTAGAGAAACGAGTGAAGAGGAGGAAAGGCAGATTGAATACGAATAAAGTAATGAAGAGTACGAAAACGAAAATTAACGTTACAATATCTTCTGTACTTTCACCAGATAGTAGATATTTCATAGTGTAGGTTGTCCGTCATCTCAGTATCAACATTTGTGTTCATAAATACTTTTCACATTCGTTTTCCTGTGGCTTCATTCTAACAGGTCAATAATTTCAGTAGGGTTGTTTTTCCACACTGAATCTTTCTGTCTTCTTATATTGCTCTCGCAGTGTCGTAGTTTCTTTTCAGAGAAATTTTAAGTCCTGAACTTCATGAGTAAGATATAACCGACGGTCGTCTCATGAGTTTTAGTGGGAAAGTTTCAACTCGTCACGATTTTTCTTGTCTGGCTTTCGTAACGAATTGACAGTACGAAAGCCCGTAACAGAGGTTTCGTAACGACAGAATCAGGGCTTTCATAACAAAAAATCAGAGCTATCGTAACGAATTTTACAGGATGATCGTAACCGATGGTTTGATATGTGACTTCATTACGATACCCCAAATTTTTGTTACGAAATCCCTATTGTCTCGTTGCGAAAACTCTGCAACTGTTACGAACTCCCTGTAAATAAGAGCTACGATTGCCCTGTAAATTTTGTTACGATATCCCTGTTTTCTCGTATATCCCTATTTTTAGCGTTACGAAAGCCCTGTTTTTTCTGAAAAATTCAACTCGTCACGTGACGAGTT